TCCAACTCAAAAAAAAAAAAAAATAACTTCATGGTTTTGATTTCTTTTGTCTTCATTAAATCTCACTCACCTCATATTTCATTACAGGTGTATTCCGTCTACTACATCAGAACAATGTCCTATGTTTTTGTAAATGATTCTTCTCAGACTAACGTGCCCTTGCTACAAGCCTGTATCGATGGAGATTTTAACTATTCCAAGAGGCTTTTGGAAAGTGGCTTTGACCCAAATATCCGTGACAGCAGGGGCAGAACAGGCCTTCACCTCGCAGCAGCCCGAGGGAATGTAGACATCTGTCAGTTACTGCATAAATTTGGTGCTGATCTTCTGGCAACAGATTATCAAGGAAACACAGCTCTTCACCTCTGTGGCCATGTGGATACGATTCAATTTCTAGTTTCCAACGGACTCAAAATTGATATTTGGTAAGCACCCTGTGATTTCTGAAATCTAGTCATTTCTTCCCATTAGTCTTTCAAGTGGTAGTCTAATCTTGGCATCTACGGATTTTGTTTCCTTATTGATCAGTTGTTATGACAGCTTCAGAAAGGCAATGAAGACAGTGTAATCTTAGGCGAGTAAGGTAACACGCTTACTTCTAGATTTATACTAAAGCGGTATAATTTTTTTCTATGACATAGTGGGCAGTTTCTGCTACTATTTAGTTGTGTAGTGTAAGACAAGGGAGAAGAAAAGAACTAACATTTGTTGAAAATCTGTGGGCTGGACTGTGTTTACTTTTGTTAGCTCATTTTTATCTTCAGGATGAGTAGCTCTTGCGTTAGGTGTTGTTTTCATTTTACAGATGAGATAGTTCAGGCAAAAAGGATTAGATGGTTTGACCAAGGTCACACATTTATAAGGGACAGAGCTGGAATTTTTACTTAGTCCGCTGACTCCAAAGTTTGTAGTGCCTTCTGTCATGTAATATACCATACTAGCTTCATAATCTCTCTGGGGTCCAGAGTTCTTTTTAGACTGAACAATTTGAGGAAGTTGTTGGGAGCTTTTATTTGTTTCAGTGATTCCCAGTTTCTTGAGTAGGAATCTTAAAACTGAGCTTGGCCTTTAAGTTATAGTTACATGCTGCCCTAATTTGTTGGTGCCATATGCTCCAGACCTGAATAAGACAGTAAATGGGTCTATCATTACAGGATAAAATGTGGTGGGACTTGACTGCGGGAGGTAATGTGATTTGGGTTCTCTCCTGTTATCAGTGCCAAATAACTGAATGAACCAGAGCATCTTATCTGACTCCTTTTCAAAAATATCACTTAGACTTTTTTTTCTATGTAGACTTTTCCCATAAAATGTAAATGTCAAGTAAGAGTGAGTCTGGAGCTAGACTTTCCCATTAGTCTTTGAGAAGATGATCTCTTTTTTTATATATACTGTTATTTACCTACTCTTTTGCCTATATATTCTTTTTTCTTATCCATGGAAGGAGAAAAATAGATTAATTTGTAATTCAGCTTCCAGCTTGACCTTTGACTGTGCTCTGGGTTTTAGTTTTGAGTCAGTTGGGCTCATCCTTTCTTCACTGAAGTCTTCACAAATGGGTACTAACAAGGTAACTAACAATGTAGTGTAACTGCTATGATGGCCTCTTTTTTTTTATATGAACTTTTTTAGCAATCATCAAGGTGCTACCCCCTTAGTTCTGGCAAAGCGCAGGGGAGTGAATAAAGATGTCATCCGATTGCTGGAATCTTTGGAAGAACAGGAGGTAAAAGGATTTAACAGAGGAACCCACTCAAAACTGGAGACCATGCAGACAGCTGAGAGTGAAAGGTACTTGAGATTTGATTGATTGATTGATTAGAGATGGTGTCTTGCTATGTTGCTCTGACTGACCTTGAACTCCTGGGCCCAAGAGGTCCTTCAGCCTCCCAAGTAGCTGGGACTTAACAGGTGTGTTCCATGGCACCCAGCAACATATCATTTTTTAAGGGTAGACATGCAGTGGTCAAAACTTAAGTACTTGGGTCTTTTGTGATGACTTTCTGGGCTTTATATTTATTTACTTTCAACTGCAGAGTTTTGATACTCTCCTTGAGCCTTTCATAAGCCCTTGTGGCTTCAGATTACAATTTAGAAGCTATTAACAGAAAGTACTGCTTGCCCGCATGCACATAATGTTCTGTTAGCTACTGGCTGTATTGACAGCGCAAGGGAAAAGAAGTAGTTAGAGCTCAGTTCGAGGGAAGGAAGCAGGAGTTTGGGAATTTTAACTACAGGTAGCAAGAATAATGGCAATAATGGCAATAAAAGCAACGAAGAGGAGAAACTTAGGTAAGGCTGAGAACTTAGACAATTTAGACCAAAAGGTAGTTTCAGGAGTGGTAGAGTGCTGAGAAGCAGTAAAACACAAGAGGGAAAGTAAGACAAGATTTAGCACTTGCACAGTTCAGTGATGTGAAAGTGAAAGTGACCAGTGAGTTGGAACTAATGAAATTTGGACCCCTGTAAGTAATTGAAGCTAAGATATGTGTGACTGACATGGTCTTAAATATAATTTTTCATCTAGAAGCAGTGGAGGACACAGGTCAGGGAGCTCTGAAAAGGTGGCAAACCATCTTTCCTCCTGGCCTCACTGGCTCAACAGGTAAAGTCAGTAGACCAGACCTAGTTGTAATAGCATATAGTTTGGTTGACTGCCATGGAGTTTCAGCCTTCCAGGTTATGCAAGTGAGGTAGAAAGGATGATAAGCTTATGGTAGTCTCTGATTATATTTGATTATATCTGATTTTCAGTAGACTATAAATAGAGCAAACATCAGCTGTTGACCTAGTAACTGATTGACCAGAACTTGGATTTAAGATCACATAGACCACTCAGACCATTTTTTGTTGAGTTGGAGTCTGACTCGGTCACCCAGACTGGAGTGCAGTAGCTGGAATTCCAGGCATGCGCTACCACGCCCGGCTGATTTTTTGATTTATTGTAGAGATGAGGTCTCGCTGCTCAGGCGGGTCTCGAACCTGCGGGCTCAGGCAATCCACTCACCTCAGCCTCCCAAAGGCACGGGATTACAGGCTGAGCCACCGAGCCCAGCTTAAAAATTGAATTATTAATACTTTTATTACATAGTTTTCCTATCTTACCCAACCACCGCCATCCCGTGTCGTGGTAGACATGCAGTGGTTGAAGCTTGCATTTAAAAGTTTAAAGACAGTGTCATTAGGAAAATGCAAATCAGAACCACAGTGAAATACCACTTCACGTCTACTAGAATGGCTGTAATCAAAAGACACACAATAGCAAGTGTTATCAAGGATATGGAGAATTACTGGTGGGAGTGGAAAAGAGTACAGCTGCTTTGGAAATGTCTGGCCGTTGTTGAAAATGTTACATGTACAGTTACCATCTAACCAGCAATTCCACCCCTAGGAATATACCAAAGAAAATTGAAACCATATGTCTGCATGAAAATTTGCACACAGAATGTTCATAGTGGTGTTATTGATAATAGCCAAAATGTGGAAACTACCCAAATGCCCATCGACTGATGCATTAATAAACAAAATATCATCTTTTCATCCAATGGAATGTCATTTCACCATAAAAGTAATGTAGCATGGATACATTTTGAAAATGTGCTACATGAGAGAAACCAAGAATAAAAAGCCACATATTAAATGATTCTGTTTATGTGAAATATCTGTAATAGGCAAAGCTATAGAGACAGAAAGTGGATTAGCAGTTACAAGGAGCTGGGGAAGGGGCATTGAGCAAGTGACTACTAATGGGTACAGAGTGTCTTACAGAAGTGACAGTGTACTAGAAGTAGACCAAAAAAATGGTTGTGCAACTTTGTGAAAATACTAAAAGCCACCGACTCATACAGTTTTAAAGAATTGCCTAGCATGTAGTATTATGGCACAGCTGTGTAACAGCCTTTTCTAGAGCAGAAGATAAAGCAAAGTTTTAAATATATTTCCTACAATATTTTCATTTTCTTTAGGATTTTCTGAGACATAGCACAACTTCTCTGGGCCTTAAAAGGACCTATATATCAAGTTGATGAAAAATATTTTCCCACTCTTCCATATTTTAAGCTTTTTTTGTTTGGTTTTGTTTTTGTTTTTGAGTTGGAGTCTCACTCTGTCACCCAGGCTGGAGTGCAGTGGCAAATAGTCATTGTACAGGTAAAGTTTGGGCCTCATTTTGGCCCCTACATCACCTGGTTTGAGATCAGGTACCCTTATTGATGAAGTTTGTCCCCCAACCCTGCTGGCAGTTTCTCATTACTGCCAATCTCTTTCTTATAGTATTAAATAATTGTTCAGGGTCCTTATGAGTGAGAACATGTGGTACTCAGTTCTTTGTTTCTGTGATAGATCACAGAGTATGATAGACTCTAAATCCATCCTAGTTGCTGCGAAGTCCATAATCTTGTCCTTCTTTATGGCAAGTAAGTTTAATTTTGATCCTTTTTACTTTAGGTATGGGATGACAAAAACAATGTAGATGACTTTTTTTAAAAAAGAAGATTACACGCGCGCGCGCGCGCGCACACACACACACACTTTCTCTCTCTCTCTCTCTCTCTCTCTCTCTCTCTCTCTCTCTCTCTCTCTGCCACCACATTTCATACTTACGTGGGAGTTAGGTATTCCCTGGACAGTAAAAAGTGTTTCATTGGGTGAAATATGTAGAAAATTCTAATTGCCAGAACTTGTACTCCTAGAGAATGCTCGCTGAATTCTCCTTTCATATGTAACATCTTTGAGTAGGAGGGCATGTCAACTCGGACATAGTCAATACATTTTATGTAGGTCAACCTGAGCCTCTCCTGCACGTCTTTATATATATGTATATACAAGTTTTTTTTCTTTCACACCTTCTCAGTGCTTTAATCTTTTTAAAAACTTGCTCAGGTTTTCTTAAATTTCTGTATTGTTTTGGATTACTCTGAAAACATCTCTTATTCAGAGAATAAACTTATTTTAATATCAAAAAAAGTTTGGATGCCAAGCAGTCTGGCCCAACAGGAAGTTAGCTTCCCATGACCAGAGACCTCTAATACTGGCAAAGGCTGAAGGACCTTTGGTTAATGGTGTCAATAAGTAAAATATAGTTGTAGATTTTAAAAAAACTGCCAGTTTTGCATGTGCTACCTCATAGTAAATGATGAACAAGACTTTGTTTTATGCTGTTTTCATTGTTCTTTGCCCAGATAGTTGGGAGGATTTAAAGGAAAAGGGTTTAAGAAGTGTAGTAATGACCTTTTATAACCAATAGATAGCTGACCCATATCATGGTCATTGTGACTTTAATCTAAATGATGCCCTGTCATTGGGCCTGCAAGCTGTGACATAGGTAACCCCTTAGGAGTGTTAAACACCAAAGGCAGATGCAGTGTACTTTTTTCTCTTTGTGATGACCGTATTTCTCAATGATGAAGTTCTAAAAACTAGAATTAATGTTTTTATGGTATTTACACTACCTTATTTTCATAAAGGCCTCAGCCTTTATGCAGAAGAGAAATAAACTTATTCTGTATTATTGTACCAAATAAAAATAAAACCAGTAGGAGGATGCTGTTAGTTCCTGATGACTAGACTAGTCCACATGCACAGAGGACTGAGAGTAACCCTCCATTCTGAGAGAATTACACATAAGGAAGAAAATCCTTCATTGGTCAGACTATTGAACAACATTAATAAAAAATTCCCTTTTTAAGTTTAATGTTCATACACTGTATAAGTGATTCTTTAGATTTATTCATCTTGGCTTATTTTCTTTCTTTTTTGTTGTTAAACAACACATTTTCTCACAATTTTAGAGACTGGAAGTCTGAGATCTGGAAGAGTCAGTATCTTCTAAGGCCTCTCCTTGACTTGTAGCTGGCTGTCCTCTTCAGTATCTTCACCTTTGTGTCTGCTGATTTTCATAAATTTAAATTTAAGTTCTTAAATTACAAGTCTGCAATTTTGAATCTTCTAAATTTAACATAACCAGAATTTGTTTTGTTTTAATATCTTGATGGTAACAACCCATTTGACCTAGTTTAAGACTTCTGCTTGGGACTTCTTTCATAGAATTTTTAACTTGACTCTGCTAGATACCGAGGGGCCCCCAAAATGAAATTTATTTATAAAAAAGTATATTCTTAGATGTTTAAACTTCAATCACCTTCAAAGGACTTTCTGTCTGATACAGTACGTCTATGGAGATGCTTTTTCCATTGCTCAAAACAGTTTTTGAACTTGTCGATTTTGATGCCTTTTAGTCCTTCTGCCATTTTTTCTTTCAACTCTTCCATATGGGCAAAACATCTTCCTTTGAGGACTTTTTTCACTGGGGAGACAAGCAAAAAAAAAATGTCGCTTGGGGTGAGATCAGGTGAATAGGGAGGGTAGGTCACGAGGGTCCTGCCGTTTTTTGGTCAAAAACTGCTGAACACTGTGCGGTGTGGGCAGGTTCATTGTCATGGTGAAAGAACAGTCACCTGTTTACCACAACTCGGGACGTTTCTTCTGCAAATCCTGACGCAGCCTTCTCAAAACTTTCAGATAAAAACTTTAGTTAACTGTTTGATCTGGAGGAACAGATTCTGAGTATACTACAAGGGGCCTGCCCTCCAAAAGATAATTCTGGGGTTTTGGGGTCCCCCCTCGTATAAATGTCAGCTTTCTTCTTGTGAGTGCTGGGTTATAAGTCTGAACTTTTCTGAATAACATAGTCCCTGTTGTTTTATGTTTTTAACATGATGAGGCGTTTTGCTTCATGCCCTTTCCCGTCTCTTTTCGTCTTTTGCAGTGCCATGGAAAGCCATTCTCTCCTCAATCCCAACCTGCAGCAAGGCGAAGGCGTCCTTTCCAGTTTTCGAACCACATGGCAGGAGTTTGTGGAGGATTTGGGCTTCTGGAGGGTGTTGCTCTTGATCTTCGTCATCGCTCTGCTGTCTCTTGGCATTGCCTACTATGTGAGTGGGGTGCTGCCATTCGTGGAAAACCAGCCTGAACTGGTACATTAAGGGAGCTCTTGGGCGCTGAGGCAGTTGCCCGTTTCCTGGCTTCAAGTACTTTTTCTCAGTTTCTCAAAATTCTTAGTGCAAGGCAGTGAGGGCTGTACATTTTTCTTTTTGCCTTTGTACTTATTGTAATCCTTTTAGATAATGGTGTGTCCATTTGAACTAACTACATACTGTAATCAAGTATACTGCATCCTGATGCTACCTCTGACTCAACCTGACTTCGTAGGAAAACCTACACATAGCCTTGTTTGACAAAATCACGGAAATGACTAGAGAATGGAAGACAGGCTGGGTATGGCGGTTCACACCTATAATCCCAGCATAGGGGGAGGCCAAGGCAGGAGAATCACTTGAGGCCAGAGTTCAAGACCGGCCTGGGCAACATAGTAAGACCCTGTTTCTATTTTAAAGGAGAGAGAGAGATAATGGAAGACAAAGGAAAAGGCTAGGAACTCCTTTGCTGTCAAAACCTTACTCTGATCTAGGACCAACTGAAATACTCAAAGAACAAGGGTTACCTACATGATTAATTTTCGTTGGTGGTTTTGGTTTTGCTTTTGTTTATTTTTGTAAGAGCCCCTTTTTTCTTCTTATTTGCTTTCTTTAGGGATAGTGGAAAGCTTAAAACTTGAAGTAATTTTTCACATCTTGTGTAGCAAATTTGTATTGCTAGAATCTGTTTGGTTTGTTGTAATATTTTCAGATCTAGTCACAAACCAAATAAAACTTTTGAAAATAAGCTATATTTTCTTCAAAAATGATTGATTTGATCTTATATTTATTTGTTTTTAGGATAATTTTGATTTTTTTGGTAAACTGCTTTTCTTAATATCTGTGAAAAATAAACCTGAGGAGTTCATTTTTCAAGTTCCCCTAGTGTTTATTTTAAAGGTATCCTGTTAATCAAAATTGCAGTCAGAAGAACTTTTTTTCTACTGAATAGTTAGCAGGGAAAAGTAATTCTATTTAACTGTCACATAATTCTGTAGTGCTATTATTATAGTGAAAAACTCAGTTCTGTAAATTGGCTGTGTTGTCACAGTTGTATCATAGTTCATAATTATTTCATGTGCAATGAGGCCCTGGTAGGCTTTTCATAACAGTCCCGTCCTTATCAGTAATTCTCTGATGGCAAGCGCGGGTGGACTGTTTCCGTGTTAACAGCACAGAGCAATATTGTACTGGGTGTCATAAACTCTTACGAATGGCAATATCATGTAAATTGAAATCTGGCCTCCAAAGCTACATTGCAGCTTTCAGCAGTATGTTTCAAGGCCTCTTTTGTTAATGATTCTGTAATGTATAAGTCATATTACTGGATTATTAAAAAAATATGAAGGCTTGATAACTTTCATTGGGTACAATCAGAAAGTTGTAGTGAAAGAACTAATGGTTTTATTTTTTAGAACAAAAGCATCTAAGCTACTGCTAGTTGAATTGTTGCTAGAATTAGAGATTATAGTTTAGAATAGAAGTGGTATTTCTGTGATTCGTTTTGCTTCTTGTTTTCTCTTTTGTATTTATATATCTGGTATTGAGGCTTTTTCTTTCATGTGACTTTCTCCTCTCTTAAAGACCTTTTTAAAATTCCTGATTAATTGACTGCTTCAGGATCAACTTGCAGAGTCTTGCTCTTAGGTAAGATAACAAACAAAATAAAGCATACTTGGTGTAAATATAGCAAAAACTGCTGACTTTAGACTGGAGAACACTAGAACTCAAATTTGAAGTATTCAGAATGAAAGCTGTGGGATTAACTTTACATTTGTTTGTACATCTAAACAGATACGTAAAATTGGTCAATATACATGTAAATATATTGCATTTTTAAAGAATTAATGTTTCCTTTTAAGTGCTGATTTCTTTGTGTTCTGTTCTCTGCATTCATCATTCGGTGATACCACCAATAAATGTCTTTATGACTCCCTTAATCGCAATCTTTGTGTGTATCATAGTTTTTCCTTTAATTTGGGGATTTTTAACAATGGGTTGTAATTTGCTGTTTAAAAACAAAACTTATTTATTACCCTCATGTAATAAGTATATTGAGTTTCCTATATGTCTGTGCTCTGAAACTAATTGGAGTGAACTGCTTGTGAATTTAAGGGTGATAAGAACTACCACGGTTAAGCACCTCCTAGTTATACAGATCACTTAGCATGCCTCATCTCATTTCCTTCTTGCGCCCCCTTGGGCACTACATGTCCCCATTTTATAAGATGAGAAAACTGACACAGGGATGGTTAAGTAACTCGTCCAAGGTCAAACAGCTAGACACGGTAGAACAGGGATTCCAGATTGAAGCTCTGTCCCCAGTTCTTTGCTCTTTCCTCCTGCTCCCCCACCTGTCATGAATTTATCAGTGGAACCATGTTCTTCCAGAACTTTGCCTAATGCCACCTCAGCAGCACATTACTAAATTGTCCACTCCTGTTCCTGTATACTCACCTTTCCTTCATGTATAATGGTCCCATTTTTGCACATCCTTCCAGTTTAAATTGAACATTCAAGCTCAATCCTGGCTTGTTCAGAAAACCTTCCATAGTTAGCCATACCTGACTACCGCATTTCCCCACCACTTACCAAACTCAGTTTTATTCATTTTGCATTGCTTGATCTGTTTCTCTGTAAACATGGTTTAAATTTTCGCTTTAATTGTAAGCGCCATAAGAGCAAGGACTTATTTTTACAGCCCCACTATTTACTATTGGAGCTCCTTATACACCAGTACTGATAGTGTTACTTCTTCACCTGTAGCTGTGTTACTTTTTTTCAGATTGAATAGCAGCACTCTGTCTTCCACACATTCCCCCAACAAGCTGTGTGTGTGAGCTGTGCTGGTCTCTCCTGCCATGTGCCTGCCGCTTGACAGCAAGCTACACAGGCTCGTGAAAGGAGAATGAAGGGGCTGGGTGCAGTGGCTCACGCCTGTAATTCCAGCACTTTGGGAGGCTGAGGCAGGAGGATTGCTTGAGCACAGGAGTTCGAGAGCAGCCTGGGCAACATAGCAAGACCTCCTCTCTACAAAAAGTACAAAAAAAACTAGCCTTGGTTGGTGACACCTGCCTGTAGTCCCAGCTACTCGGGAGGCTGAGGTGGAAATCACCTAAACCCAGGAGGTGGAAGCTTCAGTGAGTCATAGATCATGCCACCTGCACTCAAGCCTGGGCAACAGAGTGAGACCTAGACCAAAAAAAAAAAAAAAAAAAACAAACCATGCAGGCTTTCCACCAGCATTTCCTGCCACATCTTTACCTCTTGGTATGGAAATCCAGGAACAGCATTCACCTGTTGTTTTGGTTTTGATGTTTTTCTAGAATCAGGTCTCGATGTTTGACTTGTGAAATTGTTTATGTATGTATCAAAGTATTTTCAACTGCAAAAACCAAAATTCACAGTCAAAACAACTTGACAAGCTGGGCACGGTGACTCATGCCTATAATCTCAGCAGTTTGGGAGGTCAAGGTGGGAGGATCGCTTGAGGCCAGGAGTTTGAGACCAACCTGGGCAACACAGGGAACTAACTCATCTTTACAACAAAATCAAAAAATCAGCTGAGCATGGTGGAATGTGTCTGTAGTACCAGCTACTCGGGAGGCTGAGGCAGGAGTATCACTTGAGTCCAGGAACTCAAGGCTGCGGTAAGCCATGATCATGCCACTGCACTCTATCCTGGGCAAGAGAGTAAGACCCTGTCTCGAAAAAAAAAACAAAACCCACACACAGCTTGACCCATATTGGTTTATATAACCGCAAGTCCAGGACATAAAGCCCATTTCCATAAAGAGGTAGGGTAGACCCCAGAGGTGACATATTTCAAAACCTTTAAGTCAGTTCCCGTGTGCTCTTGGCTTTCCTCTCATTTGTTGACTGCGTCCTCCAGCTGGTTCTGCGATGAAGATGGAATTCTCAGGCATCCCATTCACTCGGATCCTTGTAGAGAAGAAACCATCTTTCCCATGACTCCCTCGGAGGAAACTTTGCTGCAAAGCCCCTAACAAATTTCCTCGGTTTCCCTGTCAGAATTACATCATGCACCCTTTTCTCCAACTTGTTCTCCAGTAGTTAGCAGTGTTATGCACTGGTTAACTTAGACTTGGGTTGATGAACCGGCTGCTGGCAGGGTTGGGTTGGTAGAACTCAGACGTGGGGCTTGGACTAATGGTTTTAGAAATGACTGTGACCACATCTGGCAACCAGTAGGCAGAGGTCGTATGTTTTACATCCCACAGCACACAGGACAGTCTAGCCTTACAAAGAATCATTCTACATCCCACATGATTCTGGAATGTTCTGCCGGACATTCATGCGTTTTTTTGTTTATTTATTTATTTATTTACCTAAGCCTAAAATCCAACTCCATTTTACATTTTAAAACAAGGTATGGTTTGGTATAGCTTTAATTTATCATGAAGTTTCCAAGAATACAGTCACCAGATAATTAAGGGAAAAGTCTACTTGATCAAGAATTGTACCTATTTTTTAAAAATCCGGTTATTGACAGCAGTGCTACTGATGATGGTTAAATCACCAACACAATTCTATTATAGGTATCGATGACTTTGTTGTTTCTTCTAAGTAGTCGCACCTGAGCACTTATGTATTTTAATACATTTATTACTCATTACTTTCCCTTTATTTTGTATTTCTAATAGATGATTGATGTGAAATTGTTTTCTTGATTTCAGCAATTGGTACTCCCTTTTATCTGCAACCCATACTACAGCTTCTTTTTTTTTTTGAGTTGGAGTCTCACTCTGTCGCCCAGACTGGAGTGCAGTGACTGCTCCCGGCCACCGCAGCCTCGACCTGCTGGGCTCCGGCGATCCTTCTGCCCCAGCCTTCCAAGTAGCCGGAACTACAGGCACGCGTTACCACACATGGCTAATTTTTTATTTTATTGTAGTGACAAGGTCTTGCCAAGTTGCCCGGGCGGGTCTTAAACCCCAGGCAACTTGGCGAGACCTTGTCACTACAATAAAATAAAAAATTAGCCATGTGTGGTAACGCGTGCCTGTAGTTCCGGCTACTTGGAAGGTTGAGGCGGAAGGGTCGCTGGAGCCCAGCAAGTCAACACTGGGGTGGCCATGAGCATGCCACTGCACTCCAGCCTGGGTGACAGAGTGAGACTCCAACTCAAAAAAAGAATAAAAATAAAAAAATAAAATTGTTCGGGCTGAAGCAGTCCCAGCAGTGCTAGACAAAGTAGAACGTAGGGATCAAGTTCATCCCTTTGTGCTCTGAAGTGAGTTTATAACAGTTTTCTGTGAAGGATCTTGACCTTGCCATGGATACCCTTGGCTTCCCTCAGAGCACACACAAGCTGACATTCCATTCAACTGCTCATCCTCAAACTTCACAGCACCACCAGACTA